AAAGATCAAAGGTCTTCTTTTTAACTGGGGTCCAAACGCTCCCAGTTTTTGAGCAGATAGGAGAGAGGTGGATTTTCAAAGAATCTGATCCCATCTGGAATCAAAAGAAAGAGGAGATCCTGTCGGGGTCACCCAATCCCATCTCACTCTCTTACAGATCCGAGGGGTGGCTGTGATCTGTGAATCGGGTCGACTGTCTCCGAGGGGGACCGTGTCCATGCGGGGACTTGCTCACCCACGGCCTGTGGTTTTGGGACCCAGACCTCTCTGGCACTTCCCTTCCCAGAAAGCACATCACTCCTGCCTTATCCTGTCACAGAGGAGAGTGGGCCCTCTGCTTCCTGGGCGGAGGTTCCCAGCGGCTCTCCTCCGTGACACTCTTCTGCCAGGGTGTCCCGCCTCACGTCGGGCTGAAGCCATCTAGTGAGGTGACAGAAATGCCCTGCTGAAGGTGCGGGCCCTGGGGCTGAGGGCATGGGAGGCCTCCCTGGGGACGCGCCCCTGTGAGCAGGCACCAGCGTGGTCCAGCACCTTGGAGAAGATGGCTAGGTTAAAACGCAGGCGAGAAGAGTATGTTCATAATGACACAAACCAAAATTGAAGACATTAATTACTCCTGTGTTGTTTCGGGGACAGAAGAGGGGCATGGGAGTATAAAAACCCATAGGAATAAACAGGGATTACTGTCAGGTCGATGGTGGTGACTTAGGAACAGAGCGCCAAGCAGCCCGCGCACAGGAAAGAAACATCAATCAGGCACCCATGGAACCGCCTGTCCATCAGCAGAGCCTCCTGGCCAATCCTGGATCTCAGCCAGTTCCCCCGACCAACTCCACTGGGACAACGGACTCTAAAAACCCCCTTTCCTGTCCCAAGCCCTTCCCTTCCTGCCACAAGCCCCATAAAATTCCTGTCTGGTGGAGCCCCCACGCGGTTTCTCCTCTGACCCTCTTCCCGGCTGCTCTGCCGCTCTGATCGAGTTGTGCTTGGGAGTGACATCCCAATAAAGGCTTGTTCAGCGGTCTTTTTAAAATCTGCCTCCTTTTGGTTGCCACCGCAGCCTGACCTTACAATTATGTTTAAAATACCACAGTTAATGTGTAGCCAAGTGGAAGAGAAGTCTGTCACCTCAATGAAAATAGAAATGGAGTATAAAAATGGGAAACGGGAAATAAAGTAGCATAAATAAAGTCTAACATTACAATTGTGGCACCTTCCACTGAGAACACAGAAAACCTTGACAGAAGGCAGGATCTCATAACGATCAGTCTGTCATAAGCTAAAGAATAAAAAAGTTGAAAATAAAAGAATGGAGACATCAGACACTAGGCACATACCCAGAAGCATCTAGGTAAAAACCCAGTGTCTGCAAGGCAGAGACGCCTGGCATCTGCAGGCACCAGAGCAGAGACGCCCCACCCGGCTCAGTGCACCCCACCCTTAGCACACCCCAAGCTGGCCCCGGCACAGCAACACGGAGCCCTGCCCCAAGTCTAAGCAAGCTGAGCAGAAAGCCCGCTGCCTGCCCTGGGGCTGCAGCCCTCACTGCCGGTTCCCTTTCCTCACCCTCCTAGCCACCTCAGACAGCCCGCACTCACCTGGGGGTTGTTGGTGCCCCTGGCACCTCCTGGGCCTCCCTCCTCCCCATTTAAGAACCTGGTGATTAAATTGGGCCCAGTTGGATCATCCAGGATTATCCCCTCACTTCTAGGTCAGAAGAGCAGAAACCTTAACTAGTTTGCAAACTTGATACCCAGCATGCAACATGATGGAGTTATGGCATTCATCCAGGGATCACATACAATGTCCTTGGGATGCTCTGCCTCCCACATGGACCAAACCAGAAGAGAGTAAGTGAAGATGGTCAAGACCAGGCCATGCGGTGACCAAGAGGCTGCGAGATACGGGACTTCACATCAAGTGAGCAGAATGCACATCTGTTCCAGAAGACACGGGACAGCCACAGACACCACAGCACTGGTCACAAGAGGGTCAGTGCCAGAGAGGGTGTGAGTGCCTACCATGAGCAGGGTACATGGAAATGAGCAGGAGGTCAGAGGTGTGGCCTTCAGTAAGCACTCAGAACCCGGGTCAGGAGAAATCCGGAGGGAATGAGAACCAGCTGGAACCGACTGACACAGGTCAGGGGACATGCCCAGAGCAGCACCCAGAACACACAGTGCTGAACCGATCCCCAAGAATGGGGTCAGGAGTGAAGAGCTCCACACAGCAGCCTCTGGAGGAGGAAGAGCGCAGCACGGTCAGTACAGCCAACAAGGAGACAGGACCTAGGTCCTGGGAAAATCAACACCACAGCAAAGCAGAACAAGCACCCACCCCCAGCAGAAGCCAAAGGAGATTCTTCAAAAAGGTTAATAAGAGCTATCGATTCTGACAATGTCAAGCAAGAAAAGGAAGATGAAATCCCCACTCTGCCGGACACCTGGTGCCTGCCCCAGTCCACCCTGCCTGGCCTCTCGTTGAGGAGCTCGAGCCTGGGACAACCGTGGGCCTTCCTTGTACTGTCTTTGTCCAGTTCTGCTCTGGATCTGCAAAAATCCAGGAGCCGTACACGTGCCCTAGGGTTTCCCCTTTTGTGAACCTCGTGGCCTAGAAAAGCTGTTCAAGAGTCCAAGGATGCAAATAATGGCAAAGTCGACTGCAGTGTGCAGACAGAAACTGTCACAACCCAGGGACAACAGGAGCTATGCGAAAAGAAAGACCAGTGCAGAGTCCCCAGAGGATCTCAGCTGTTTAAAATGGACCCGACAGGGGCTGGGGCTGGGGCTGTGGCTCAGCGGTGGAGCGCTCGTCTGGCATGTGCAAGGCCCTGGGTTCGATCCTCAGCACCACATAAAGATAAATAAATAAAATAAAGCTATTAATAAATAAAATGGACCTGATAACACGAAACACCTTCTTTGTAGTTATCTCTGCCCTTTTTCTCTGAAACTAGAATTTCAGATAGGTTATGATTTACCTGATACTTAGAGGAACTACATGGTGTTTATGTTAGAATGTATTTAGTTACATTTAATGACCTTGTTCCTGAGTTCTATTTTCATTACAGTAGTTTTTATTTCTATTATTGCTGTTTTAATAATATGAATAAAGGGCTTTGTGCCAGTAAACAGTACCTCAAGTCCACATGACACTGTTTCTCTAATGCTGTGCGTCCTTCTAACTGAATGGCTGAGTCTCCTGTGAAGTAGTACAGACGACACTCAGGTGAATACTGTCCAACCCCATGGAGCAGTTTGTCTGTGAGGGTCAGTGGCTGCTGTTCATGCTCGAGGAAGATGGAAAGGGAAGAAATAGGGTAACAGTTTTGAAAAATGATACTTCTTCTACATAAATGTCTCATGTTGTAAAAATATAATGCTGTTGCTTTCGTTCCATTCCTATGAATGCAATAATTATTCTCTTTAGTTTGTTAAAAAAAAAAAAAAGAGGGACTGAAAATAGAGAAACAATTATAGACGGAAAGATTAAAAACCTACAAGGACACGATAAGCAACTGTATTAATGATTTTGAATCCCAAGATCGATTCAAAGGAAAACAGACTTCCCAAGTCAGCAGGTGAGGCTGTTCTCACCTCTTCCCTTGGTGGCAGATCCGTGACCAGCCCGACAGACCTCTGCCTCACCTCTTGGCATGGAATGACGTGTGCCCACCTCACACAGCTGCCGAGGGAGCTGTCCTGTCGATGGCAGTGTGCCCATCCCAGCTCCTGACCAAGCATCCCCCACTCCCACGAGCTGGGCTGAGCTGTAGGCTGTGGCACGGGCCCTGGACCGTCCTCCCTCCCTTCAGGAAGGAGGAGTCTCACCTGTCCCCTCTCTTGCATGGAGGTGAAGTCACCTGAAGTTAGGGGGAAGCAGGGCTGGCTGGTCAGGGGGAGACTGTTTCCAGGCACACAGCCAAGGGCCAAGGGTCAAGCACGCCCTGGCTTGCCTCACCCGGGATGCTCCTCTACCCCAACCTGTTCACGACTTCTGGGGGTCCTTCCTGTGCCCCATCCAACACTGCACCTTTGATCCCTCGTGCTGGGTTTTATCTTGTTGACACTATCATTCTCTGTCCTACTCATGGTAGGACATAGCTGCCATCTGCTGCCCAGCTAATGGATGCTGGGGAAGGCCAGTGCCTTCCATTTCCCTGTGGCCTCCCCAGCCCTGCAGGTCCCAGGGAGAGAGCCTCTGCCCTAGCCTGCGGGCATGCTGAGTGGCCAGGCATGCTGGGCTGGTTTCTGTGCCACTTTGCACAGACCACATGTGCCTCTGGCCGGGACCATCCTGGAGGAAACCTGGAAAAGTCACCAGGCAGACGAGAAGCAGGTTCCCTCTGAGAGGGGCGTTGCAGCTGGCCAGGAGCCCGGGCCAGAGGCACATGTGGTCTGCAGCCCAGGAAGCTCGACAGGTTCCAGGCTAGCTGTTCACCTGCAGGGAGCACGACTCCCCAGGAGGCACCTCTGGGGTGAGAGGGTGTGGAACCCCTCCCTGCCTGGGTCCATCTGCCTCTGCCAGGCCTCACTTGCCTTCTGGAGGGTCCAGGAACCCGGGCTCGGAGCTTGCAGTGCTGGGACGGGAGTGCAAGGCAGAGGTAAGGTGCCATCCTGTCTCGGCTCTCCTGGGCTCCCCTGGCCTTGGGTCTGGGTCCTCTGAGAGGGTGCAGGGCCTCAGCACTGAGGGGGCATGCAGGTGGAGAAGCCAGGTGAAAGGACCTGCTTGTTGGCAGGACACGGTGCCCTGAGCTGGGGTGTGGATGCACTCCAGACTTGACAGCAGCTGGGCCACCAGGTGGGGCCAACCTTTGGTGCCAGTGGAGGGTGGGGTTTTCACCCTTGTCATCTGAGTCATGTGCAAATTCAGCGGCAGAAGGGCGAGAGCAGGCTGTGACGGGGCGATGAACCTGAGCTCGCGGTGAGAGAACCCAGGTGCTCCGCCCAGCAGGCTGGCCCAGTGAGGATGGGCACTGGGGGCAGAGACGAGACGGAGTCGATGGGGGAGGCGCACAACGTTTATTAAACTCCAACAGTGCACAGGGGCTTTCTGGAGAGGCTGCACTCTCCAGTCACCCCGGAAGACGCCTGGGGCCCACAAGTGCCTCCCCCAGGGGACATCCCTGTGGAGCTGGGCCCCACACCCTCTGCCACTCGGCCCCATTCCTTGGTCGTCCCCCAAGCCCCCCCTCTCCTGGGCGTCCCCAGAGGCTGCAGGAAAGGCGGCCCAGATTCCAGCACATGGCCTGGGTGGGAATGTGAGCCAAGGCAGCGTGGCTCTGAGGGGAAACTGGGCACAGGGGAGAGAGCGCAGGGACCTTGAGCACAGGGACAGCAGGTCACAGGAAGTGTGTCAAAGCGTCAAACCAAATCTTGGACAGTCACACGGACACTGAGGGACAATTCTCTACAATGTCACGGATGGGAGTTCCCCGAAGCGTTACAATACTTAGCAGTGCATGCCAATGCATGGAGACAGGCTCCAACTACCAAAGGGGGCGGGCGGCCGAGCCTGGAGTGCAGACGGCTCGGGGCTGGTGTCTACTGCATGGACCGTCGGTACGTAAGAAAACTACTTGTATCTGCGAGGAAGGGCAGGCGGTTTGTACAGAGTGCGCCAGCCGGTGAGGCCGTGGGCTCCAGCGGTCAGGTGCACAGAGTGGCCTGGGTAGGATTAGAGCGCGCCCATCCCGGTGACCTCGGACGTCAGCCTGGAACAGACAAAGGCATAGGGGTGTGTCACGGCACTCCTGTGAGGTGGGTGGGGGCGAGGTAGGCAGGGTGCAGGGCACCCTTGTGGCCTGGCCTGTGGTCCTAGCAGCACACTTATGGACAAGGCACAGCACACAGGAGGCAGGCCGACTGGAGCATCCACAGGGACTTCCCTCCCTGCCCATCACTGGGTCACACTGGGGGATCTGGTCAGCAGCCATAGCCCCTGGGCCTGCCCCTAGTGGGCGATCCTGACCTTCTAAACCTCACTCCCCTGACCTAAGAAGGGACTTCATAGTTCTCACAAGAATGACTGTGACCTGGGTCAGCATCCTCCGGCACCCAGAAGGGCTCCAGCTGGGCTGCTGCAGTAGAATGTGGGGGGCAGGTGCTGGAAGCCTCCCTGCACCCCATCTCCTGATTGGCCAACTCCACACCTGCCTGGTCCCTGCCCGCCCAGCAGTGTGGCCCAGCAGTGGAAAGGGGTAGACTCCACTGGAGCCTGGTCGTGGCCCTGGGGGAGTTGCAGGGGAGGGGAGATGGGAGGGTGAAGTCAGGCTGGGGGGTCCTCGTCTCTCCTGGTCAATCCCTTCCCACCTCACTGGAACCCCTCGGGGAGGCACCAGGGCAGGAAGTCCGACAGCCCACGTGGGGCTGCCACCACTAGATGGCTCCATCAGCCTCCTGCCAGCTGATGCAGGGGAAGTGCCACTGCCTTGCTCAGCTCGGGACACAGAAGGAGAGGCCAGCTCAGCCCTGGTCTTCTCCCTCCTCCAGGGGTCTGTAAAGACCACACGGCAAAGGGTCCAGGCTCCCATGTTTCTGGACCAGTCTGGTTGACAAAGGCCAGTGGCCCAGGTCTAGGACCTCCCTGGACGTGCTGCCTCACTACCACCCTGCATGGCCGCTCTTCCAGTTTCCTGCCTCCTCACTATGACCGACCAGAAGAGGGGGTGGCCCGTGTCAATGAGGAGACTGCCCAGTACACTCTGTCCCCATGTCCAGCTAGGAAGGAGAGTGTGGCTGGGGCTCCCACCTGCTTCAACTGTCCAAGCCGAGAGGTGGGCTGCAGGCCAGGGCTAGGAGCCCCTGTAGGGTCCTGTGGCCGTGGAGTCCCTTACCTGGCATTGATGAGATACTGGGCAAGGCTGATGTTGGCCGGGGTTCCCGTGATGGTGATTTGACGCTCCGATGACCCTTCAGTGGCATTAGCGATTTTGATCTGAGCTCCAGACATCTGTCGAATTTCATTGATTTTGGTCCCTTGGCGTCCAATGATGCAGCCTATTAGCTAGAAGGAAGGATGGAGAGACTCCTTAGAGGACATCCTGAGGGTCCCCTGCAGGGCCTCTTCAGGAGCCAGGGAACTCAACTCTCCTGGGCATGACCCCTGGCCCTCCATAGAGCAGCCTGGACTCGCCTGTTGGTACCACACGGCCTCTGCTCAGTACCCGCCCCACCGCTGGGGGTCCATCAGATCAAGAGATGACTGTCTCAAGGCCTTGCCACTTCATGCTGATTTCCTCTGGCCTGGACAGGAGTGACGGAGGCCGGCAGGGCGGAGGCAGAGCCGGGGACTCCACGCCAGCGTGGGAAGGAAGACTCCGGCCAAGAGACAGGTGTCACACAGGCTGGCCGAGGGAATGCAGGAGGCTCATCTCCACCAGAGACCTGCCCTCTGGTGGATTCTGTTGGGACCCCGAGAGCTCGTTGGGCACTCCTTTCCTTGCCACTGTGGCCTCCATTTAAAGATGGAGTGCAGTAGCTATGACCATGTGGTCACCGGGAGAGGGACCACTTCTTAAGCAGCTCAGGGAAAAGAGTGGGCCACCCTGGCATGGGGGCAGGAGCCTTGAGGCCATGGCCTTCTCTCTGGCAGTAGCCAGAGCCCCTCCTGGCCCAACCTGCTGCATGGGGGGATCAAAGCAGACCACCGAGAGGACTTGGCAGAGGAGCTAGGTGGCATCCCTTGCCTTTTGCCATTGGATTGGAGCAGAACGCCACATCCACAGATACTGCAGAGGGCTCTGGAGTGCGCATGGGAAAAGGAAGGTCAGAATACAGAGGCAGAGAGCCCCAGGCCACAGCAAGCAGCCCACAGGAGCCCACGCTAATGGCGGCACCTCCTGTGGGCACTGGCCCAGGAGCCAGGGCATGGAGATGGGGTCACGAACACTTCCCCTACTGCCATGAGATGCTGGGTGAAGGCTGGGGCGGGGCAGGAGGTGGGGGGTGGGGAGCTATAGACCCACAAGCACAGAAGTCCCATCATACAAAGCTGTGTGATGAGCAGCAGTCCCACCGGGTCTCACTAGACTGCAAAGATCCTTCTTGGGGAACGTGGGGTGAAACCTCCACTCCACAGAACCCAGTCTCCCGCCTGTGTCTCTGGGCACTCCCACCCCTCCCTGTTCTCGCCTGTGTGGTTGTTCTGAGTGTGCCTGGGCCCTGAGGCCAGGGACGTATCTTCCCAACCTGCACATGGCCCACGAACCTGTCTGGCTGTGTGCCAGATCTTGAGGGCTCATCTTGGACCAGGGCCTGGCATGCTGGACCTTGAAACTGGGCAGGAACATGAGGGAGAGTACAGACCACCCGGTGGTGTGACCACTGCTGAGGCCCCAGCCCCCATGGCCTCCTCTCCTCTCGGGTCTGTCCTAGACACTCTGCAGCCTGCTCTCCTTCCTGGGCTCTCCCCACCTGGGCACTTCTGGCATCCTCACAGTGCTGACCACCGTGCTCTCCTCCTGGCCTGGTAGTCGGGCCCCCGTTCTCCCCTCTGCACATGCCTGGGATTGTTGAGGGTGGCTCTCTCCCCGGGCTTGGATCTCGAGGCCTCGAGCCCTCTCCCTCCTCCAGGTGCCCTGTGTCCAGTGCTGGGGGTCCCCGCCATGAGAGCATGCTTACCCTCAGCAGAAACGCTCACTGGGCGACACTGCCCTTGAGCCACAGCAGAATGTGAGAAGCCACAGAGCCCCTTGCCAGCCCTGCCCTAGGCCAGATACTTCAGGGCACCTGCGACCCAAGGGCCCTCCCACTTGGCTCTCCTGGACCTGCTGGGCCATCAACATGCAGCCCTGAGGCCACTCCCCTCTCACCTTCACACCCCCCATTACAAGTGCAAAGGAAAGCAAAATGTTCTAAAAAACGTGGCTGTTTTAACCAGCTGCCACAGAACTCCACAGGCCACACTGAGCTGTGGCCATACCTCCTGCCTGGCCTCTCCTCAGGAAGCCCTCCATGGGACAGCTTGCCTTGCTTTATACAGCAAAAGGCCCTGGTGACTCAGGACCCAGAAGGGAGCCTCAGCCTGGGCAGGTGGGTGCTTGGGCTCAGGACAGAGCACAGGAGGCAGGCACGAGAGGCCACACGGCCAGGAGCAAGCTCTGGACTGGGCCATGAGGGAGGCCCACAGTGACCTTGGGAGTGAACCAGGGTGTGGGGCTCCCTGGCCTGGCCTGGGTCTCTGCTGTAGACCTACAAGCACAGAAGTCCCATCACTGAGTGCCCTTCTGCAGATGGGCTGAGGCAGCCTGTAGATGAGGCATGACCAGGTGTGACCAGGAGCCTGGCCGGGACATGGTGATGGCAAGTGTCAGAACCAGCACTTGATTTCCCTCCTCACCTCCATGAAGGTGGCAGGTGTTGGCTGCAGCCCAGAATGTCCCCTGAGGTCTGGGGTGAGTGGGAGGCCCTCCCCTGTTCCTGGGAGCAGGATGACAGGCCGTGCTTCCAAGTAGGCATGGGTGAGGGAGCTGCCACCCTTCTGAGGGGCAGGCTTCCCTCCCCACAGAGACCCCGGGGGAAGATGGACAGGCAGGACCACGGTGGCCACAGGAGACAGACAAATCAGCTTTGCGAGAGGCCCCACTTGAGCTTTGGAATGAATGCTCGACAGGAGCACTTCCCTGGTGCAGGGAGCGGTGTGCAGGTAAGAGGCTGAGGGGAGGCCCTTCCTGGTAGGACCTGCACTGCTTCCATCACTCAGGTGAAAGGACATGGCAGGTGCTGGAACCACCTGCTCAGGGAAGCCAGGGGAACCAGGGGCAGGGGGCAAACAAAGCCGAGATCTCCTCCAAGAACACAGGGTAGCGGTGCTGCCATGGAGATGGTCCTGAGCTGTGGCCTGAGCTGAGTGCCCGAGTGAGGACCCCAGGTATCTCTACATAGGCCGGGGCCTCTCCCACCAAGCAGCTGGAGGACAGCAGAGTCCTGGAGAGATGCCCTGGCTGCACAGAAGCCTGGCCTACAGTCCAGGGGATGCCCATGATGGCGGCCACAGGCCTCATGGTCCCTCCACTGGCTGGCTGGCTTTCCTGGGCCTCTTGTCCTCCTGCCTGCCTGCTTCCGGCCTCAGGTTCCTGCCTTTCCAGAGCAGTGGAAGTTCTCACAAGCCCAGATCTAGAGTAGAATGATCCTTGGCGTCAGAGAATGGCACCGCTCTTCACCAGAACCCTGCTGAGCCTGGGGAGGACTGAGTGTGCTAGGGATGCTGGCTCGAAGGCCACAGCACAGAGAATCCTGAGCTCCATAGAGAGCTTGTGGGCCGCTGGTTCTGCAGGGTCTGACCTGGACTAGGCCACAACCACGGGGCAGGTGTATGCCAGCCCACTCTGGCATCCAGGCTCTCATCCACCTGAAGGCTCCAAGACCCCTTCTTGTGGGACATCTTAGGCATCTAAACTTATATACTACAACTGGCATTAAACCAGCTTAAATGGAAGGGAGGAGGACAGAGAGGTCAAAGAATGGGAGCAGGGCCACCAGGGTGCCACTGGGTGGAGGGTGACTGTGCCCGCATTGGCCTTCCCGCGCAAGGACAGGAGGGTGCAGGGGCATACTCACATCATTGGGAATGGTGAGCTCGTGAGTGCTGGCCGGGGGACTGGCGTCCAGACCTGGGCACACCAAGGGGACACGGTTAGGCTGGTGGGAAGGTTGCTCCAGGTCACACCCCCAGGCCTGGCTACACTCCCCTGGGCTGGACAGGGCAGGGCTGAAAGGTTAGCTGAGGGCAAGAATCAGCAAGCCCAGGGGCTCAGACCCCATGAGGCCCACATAGCAATCTCAGTTCCTGAGCCCCAACTTCTCTCAAAAGGAAAATGAGAGCCAAGCACAATGCTATCCCCCTTTGGTTCTGGGCACACCTGGACTTCACTCCAAATGTGCTCATGTGCTCCCCCACTCCCTGTGCAGACCCCAACGAGCCCCGGGCTAAGCAGGGCATCACCATGTTTCAGGCATCCACGTGTGTCCAGGGCACAGGCCATGCTGACCCTGAGCACCCCTTCTTCCTCAGCTCCTGGAGACCTCTCTGGCTCAGAGCCTACTCTGCTTGACCCCTGACCCCAGGCAGTCCTGCTGCAGTGACCAGCGGCCACAGAGCATTTGCTGTTTATTATGTTTCTGACCCAACTCTGATCAGAGCCCAGTCCTCGTCAGCTGGGACAGCCCAGGTCGCAACATGGTTCTTTGCGATGGGAGCAAGGAGAACCGAGCCAAGATGGACTCTAGACCCAGCGCAGACTGCACTTCTGTAAAGCCTTCCCTCCTGCAGTGGAGAGTGAGGACAGAGGTCTATCCACCACGTAGCCCAGGCTTTGTTTTCTCAGGGCGCAGCCTGCACACCACTGAGAGACAGCTCCTCAGAGCCTAAGCGCCCTCTCTGGCCTTGGAAATAGGGCACAAGGAGCCCCTGAGATGATGGATGCCACGTGGCTGCTCCTTGAGTGCAAGAGGTCTCTGCACTTGGTGACCCATTTCCTCAACAAGAGGTGACTTCAACCTGCAAGGCTATGGCTGAGCCCTGCTCTTGCTCCTTCCAACCACCCAGACCTGCCAGGTGGCCTCTCTCGCCCTCTGGTCCTGCCTCTGCCCTTGCCTCAGTCTCATTTCTGCATAGCCCTGGGGGTCTCCCCAAAACAACCTCGGCGAGCTCCACCTTCCCCACAGTGACCCTCAAGGACCTGGGCCCCCGCCCTGGCAGGTGCCTGCTCCAGTCTCCCAAGGGGAGAGGCCCTGAGGGAAGTGCCCAGCACAGTGGGGTCCCAATGGAAGCGAGCGGTTCAATTCAATTCATCCCAAATTTTGCTCTTTTTCTTTTGCACATCTAAACTTGGAATTTCTGGTCTTTATCTTCTTTTCATAACATATCTTTTCAATACAATAATTACTTGTTTTGTTTTTTTAACTATCTGTACACAGTCCATAAATGGTGACATCTAAAATGTCACTTGAAAGATTCCCTTAGTCCTGAGTCCTGACTGCTCAGGATGAGCCAGGAACAGGGGCCACACTTAAGGACTTGGCATGTTTTGACTGAGGGAGGAAAGTGGCAGAACTCTTCTTAAGAGCATATACCAACTGAGCGGATAGTTCAAGACTCTGTTCAGAGCACGCGCTCATCTGTCTGACGCGGAAGCAGCAATTCCCAGCACAGGAGACAGCCCAGCCAGCCCTCAGAGCTCAGGCCAATGTCCCTCCTCTCCTACCCCTCTTCAGATGCTGCCCTGGGTGCTGCAGGGCTCCGGCCTTGGTGAGGGGAGGCAGCCAGGAAGCCAGACAATGCTGGCCATGTGCTCGGGCAGTTCACACGGGGTGAAGGGTACACAGCATTTCCATCACAGGGACCCAGGAAACCTGCTAGCTGGTTTAGCCCCAGCATGGCTCCTCCAAAGGCTTCACACCCAGACAACGTGGGTCTCGTGCCCTGTCACAGAATCTACAGATCTCTGCACTCCCTGCTGCAGTGTCCCAAGGGCAAACTTGTGATGCACATCAGAAGGAGGCACAGACAGGCCGTGCTCACCTTCCTCAGGTCTTCTCAGAGCCCTGAGGAACACTTTCTAAAAGGCAAGGTCAGGAGCTCCCTCCCAGCACAGCTGCCTCACCACGAGGACCATGACAGCAGAGGCCCTCCCCTCGCGGTGCACACTGTCAGCTCTGCGCACGCCCAGACCCACCAGCCAGCCAACAGCGTGGTGACAGCCACCTTGCTTGACCTTTGTGGGGCTTCTGGGCAGCGCCTGTCTTTAGTCCCAAGCCACTAATGCTGCCAACTTCTGGCAGGTGTGCATGCCAGGCACACAAACCCTGTCCCCAGGTGTGAGTGGGGTCCCGCCCTCCTCCTGCAGAACAGCCTGCTGCAGGGGCTGGGCCCCCCGTGGCCTACAGCCCCACCAGTGTGGTCTGCTTTACCTGACGACTGGCCCATCAGATTTTGAGCTTCTTCGGAGGAGTGTAAAGGCAGCTTTTCTCCTGGAGAGCAAAGAAGAGACAGGTTTAATGTTTTGCCCTCAAGGAGATAAGCAAGGTCCCTTCAACTAGGGAAGCTCAAAATATGACTGGCACTGGCACGGCTAACACACACGGTGATAGATTGTCACCGGCCACAGCCACTGGAGCTGCTCTGCCTCTGTGGGAGGATGCCCGGCAGCCAGATGTCGGGCTAGGCCACGGCCGGCTGCTCTGACTGCCTCACCACAGCCTGGGCCGGGCTGGCTCACATCACTGCTTTCCCTGGCAGGGCTGGTGCCATCCAGGGCTGGGCCACCCTGAGAAGTGCAGCCACGCTGTGGTTGTAGAACCTGCTCCTGGAGAGGAAATGCCCCAGGGCTGGCCTCCTGGATGCCTCCACAGGAAGGGCCACAGGACGGCCCGTGGGCAGCACAGAGCACTGCTGGCCAAGCATGGATCCACGGAGGGGCAGATGTCTCTGCACAGGCAAGGACACCCAAGGTCAACATGAGGCAAACTAGCCCCCAGCCAGACACGCTGAGCTGGCCCTGGCCCCGCTGCGTGCAAGCCCACTGCATGACTGCAGCCTGGGCCTTAGCCTCCACTGCGCCTGCGCCTGCGCTGCTCGCTGCTCGGCATAAGGGCAGTTCAGAGAAAGTCCCCAGGTGGAAGAGAAGGAGGTCAGAAAGGGCAGCTGGGTACGTACCGGGGAAAGCGGGGTTGGTCTGTCCGAGGGGAGGAAAGGGGGTTTGCTGCATGGCCAACTGGTGGAGCTTGGTCAGCTGCTGGGGCAGGAGGGACACGAGAGCTAAGAAGGTTATTGTCATCGAGCACAAGTACACCAAATCAAAATGGCAGTAACAGAACTTTGCACAGAGAGAGAGAGGGGGGCCATGCGGACACATGGCAGACGCAGCAGGACTCAAGGACTTGGCCTGGGTGGAACCGGTGGGCCTGGCTGTCAGTAGCCGTGGGGCCTGAACCAGCCCTGCCTCCCTCTCACCAGGCCTCATTGTGTGTGTGGGGGAGGCTGGCAGGGTCCTTGGGTCAAGGGGTGCAAGGGGGATATGAGGGCCATGGAGCAGGAACACTGGGCTTCTAAGGGTCTCACACCTCTGGGCTCCAGAGGCACATCCTCGGCCCTGCCCTGCAGCCTCACTTTAGACAGCGGCCTGGGAGCCTTGTGAGGGCCATGCACCCTCCCTGCAGTCCTCTCGAGGGATTCCTGACTTACGTGGGGTTACAGGGCATGGGTGAGATCCCAAGGGAGCCCCGGGCTGCAGGCTCTTGTGTGAATCAGCCTGTGTCCGTGCCCACTGCTTCTGCAGGCTCTTCCTCAGCCCCCACCAGACGGGCTTTTCCGGGAGGCTTTGACAGGCAGTTTCCTTACCCGAGCCTCACTTCTTAAATACAACGGAGAGCAGTAGAAGACGCAGGTAGAATGTGGTCAACTAGTCCACACTTGGGGAGCAGAGTTAGATGGCCTGGAATTCTCCCACCTTCTCGAGGCGTGGGGCCCCAGGGCAGAGGGCGCTGGCCTTCCTCAGGCCTGGGCTCTTCCAGGGCTACGAGCTTTCTGGGCAATGTCCCAGCTGCCACAGAGACCACCCCACCTAATAGGCGGAGGCTGGGGGTGTGCCAAGTGAGGCAGTGGCACCTTCCCACAGTGGAATCCAGTTCCTCCACACAGGACCATGCAGGACAGCGGCAGCCATCCAGGCCTCCCCTGCACCCAGCTCCCCGCCCTGCAGAGGGTCAGGGCGCTCTCCCTGGCTGGCCCTTCCTCACCCTAGCCAGGTAGGGGCTGGGGTGGGCCTGTGGGAATGGGGTTCCTGGGGTGCTGGCTGGCCAGCCTGGCCTCTCCCTGCATCTACTGTGTGGGATTCTGACATGAGAACAGGCCTGTGGCCTCAGAGATCACACCTTGGAGATGGAACTTAGGTGGGCGTGCCCCCAGACTGCTGACTGTAGTGAAATTGGAGAGTGCAGTGTGCTCCCTGCACTGGCTCTGGAGGGACACTTGCCTGTCAGATGTCTAGTTCCTCCCTCCCCAGGAAAGGTGGCCATGTTTACACTGGGCATATCTTGAAAGCAGCCTTCTCCTAGCTTCCTGGCTGTTCCCTGAGCCTTGGCACTTGGGCTGGGTCTGCAAGGGGGAGTCCTAGCTCGTCCTAGGAGCAGCTCAGGTCAAGGGACATGGTGACTTGGGGTCAGCTACGGTTCTGTGTCCCCTGAAGGGGGGTTTGACAAGGCTACAGCAAGGGCGAGAAAGCTAATGGTATACCTGCAGCCTGGCATGTCACAGCACCAGCTGCCCGCCCCAGGTACAGCGCTGCCTGGTTCCCCCTGGCCCACATGTGTCCCGTGACTTGACCTTGATGGGTGGTTAAACTTCCTGAGTGGAGTTGCCTGGTAAAGGCTAGAAGAGCATGGACAGGAGACAACATCACCAGGACCTCAGTCGAAGTCCAGGCAAGATGGCCAAGGCCAAGGAACAGGGGAGACCATGTTCCACCACAGAGGGCAGGAGGGAGCAGAGCTCTCGGGCATCCTAGTGAGGAATGTGCTCCCAGGACACCCCTGGGGCTGCAGCCCTGCAGCAGGACCGGGGTTGCAGTGAGCCTCAGGGGTAGGTGTTGGGTGGGGACCTGTGTGAGCACCCACAGGCCTGGGGCATCCCGACAGTTGTACTCTGCTCACAGCTGCTATTCCTGTGCTCTTACGTGCATCCGCCAGGCTGCCTTGCTCCCCAGAGGAATAGCACCCTTCCATCTGCCCTGCATCTCTGGAGACCATGTGGTTGGATATCACCAGGACTGTGAGGCACACTGGCTGGGGGCAAGGGAGCTGGCCTCAGCTGGTCCATGTGGACACGGGAACTTCCGATCTCTATAGGCCTCAGTTCTCTAATCTGTAAAGGGGTCTGTGAGTGAAGGGCAGCTTTGGAGTGCTGCCATGCCTCAGCTGTGGCTTGCCCATCCCAGCTGCCCACCTACTCTGCAGCCTCACCTGCTGGGCACACAGGTAAAGCCATCTGCCAGGATGGTCACGTTACAGGTAAAACAAGTGCTTCTCAAGGCTGGCTCCACTGGCCTCCAGACTGACATTCAGTAGCTCAATTCTATCACCCCAACCCTCCTAGCTCCATATACTTTGTTTTTTAAGAGAAAATTGCCACATTAGCAAATAACCCGCCCCCCCCAAAGATAGATTGAGGCCAGAGTGGGGCAGTGCTGGCGGGCAGTGCTGAGTGAGTAAGTGGATGGTGGGTTGCCGGGGAAGGCAGCTGGCATCTTTCTTATCTTGGCTTGGCCCTGCTTATCAGCCCTCTCCTCTTGGGACTCAATTTCCACTTTTTTTTTTTAAAGGAGAGAACAGGACTAAGTGCTGAGGGAGCTTTCAAGATAATTCTAACATTTAAAAGAACCACACTTGTGGCTCCAGTGCTTCCAGATCACCAGGAGGGAGGGATAAAGAAAGGAGTGGGGCAGCTGGTAGGAGGAGGGGAGAGGCAGGGAGGCACCCACCGCATTACAGCCAGGCCCCACTCTCCCTTCACTTTACGGCACCGGAACAGAAAAGCAGACCAGCACTGGGGCCATGAGTGCTGGCCCACGCTGCACGGCGCAGGCCCCTGTGCTCCCATTCAGGCCAGTGGAGACACACACAGTGTTTTCATCTGCCCAGCACTAGCTGTCCAGGATGCCATGTCTTCTGCCCATTCTCCTTCCTGGGTTGTCGCTGCTGACTCGGATGTCAACCTGCCTTGGTTGTCGGGCCACAGAGGTCTGTCCTCTCTGCTCATGGTGTCTTTAGAGAAGCAGGACTCCACATCTGCAGTGAAGTTGACCCAGCAGTCCCCCATTCTGGTCTATGCTGGTGTTTTCTTTAAGAAATCTTTCCCTGATGAGAAAGGAAGGGAATTCTCCTGAACTCCCTTCTAACATGTCTCGCTCGCTCTCACGTTGACCTTCTTGGTGTACGAGGATGGTTTTGTTTGTTATGAATGTCCACTCTTCCTGGGATGGCCAGCTCTCGGGCATCATTTCTGAGTGATCCCTTTTCTCCTGGGGTCTGCACTGAGTGGTTGCGTGCAATAGGTCTCCTCACCTGAGGCTCAGATGCTGGGTGCCTGGTCACTGGCTGTCCCTCCTGGCACATGAAGTGCAATCTGGGTTGCCGCGACCTACTTGCAAAGGCAAGTCTCCCTGTCCTTCTCATGGATATGCTGATCATTCTTTTTTTTCTCCCTCTCTTCTGTGGAAGCTTATTTTTCTTTTCTTTTACTGATGCATTGTCACTGTACACAGAGCTGGACTCACAGTGCCATTCCTGCTCGTACTTATAACACTCCCCAGCACCTCTCCTCCCTCCCTCCCTCCCTCCCCAGCCATGTGCTCCACTCTGCTGATCTGCCTTCTGCTGTTATTCCTGACCAGTGCTCTTCCATGTGTGTGTGTGTGTGTGTGTGTGTGTGTGTGTGTGTGTTGCTGGGGACCACACTCAGGGCTGCGCACATGCTACACAAGCACTCTACCACTGAGCTACACCCCCACCTTCCATATGAATTTTAAAATGGCATGAAAAAAATTTTTTTTGGATCTTGGCTGGAATCGTATTGCATTTGTACAGCGACTTGGAAAGAACTGATATCTTTGCAATTCTTAGTGTTCTAATCCATAAGTATGGTATGTCTCTCCTTTAGTTAGATCTTTTTGTCCTCTTTAACTTTTAATAAGGCAAGATTTTTAAAAGAGTCAACCAGATTTCTCACTGCTCTTCCTCTATAACATTCTTCCTCTGTATGATTACTTCTAAGACTTGACCTTGGGCCTTGGTATTACATAGATGTAAGATGGATTTCTTTTTGTTTATCCTGTTTGGATTTGTTGGAGTCCCTGAATGTGAGGATTGGCTTCTTCTACTAACTTGGGAGAATCCTCAGGCCATACCTCGTACTTGTCCTCTCCACTCTAGTAGCTCCTGGCCTCCACTCACGGGCATGCTCTTCCCTGTCACCTTTCTTCACCAGTGTTTCTAGACTCCCATGCGCACAAGTCATGTGATGGGCTTGGGAAGCCAGTGTCTGTTCCTGAGGGCAGGTGGAGGGACTGACCTAGAGCCTTGCACTCAAGGGCACAGCATAGAGGTGCTGCTCTGTGTGCCTGACCTGGGGAGAGAGAAGGGCGGTAGGAAGACAGCTCCAGCCAGCACTGGAGGCTAATCTGGGCCTCCAGTTCTGTGAGGCAGGACTGCAGCCAGCCTCTGGCAGCGGGTGGAGCCGGGGAAGCTTCCGTAGCACTCCTGATCCAGCATCTTGGCAAGAACACAGGCTCAGGGCCCGGGGTGTGGCCATCAGCTGTGTGTCCATGGGATGGGGTGTTGGCTCTTTCCTCTTTTCTTACCATCAACGAGAGGGTCCTCTCACCCACCTCTCTACAGGGTTCTGGAGGGAGAAGATGAACAAATGGGAGGGGAGGCTCTCCACAGCTCTCTGCCCCGAGCTCTGCAGCACACAGACTTCCTGTTCTCCACAGGTCCACAGTAGGTGTTCCCCACCTCAGAGGCACTGTGACAGACGCTGGGATGAAGGCACTTCCAGTACATGGTCTGGCTGCACACCAGCCCACGTTTTTCTTTTACTCTGATACACACCTCCACATTCTCCCCACTCTATTCCAGATAAAGAGCAAATTCCTTATCAGTCCTGGTGCTGACCACTGCAGAGTGCTCAACACCCTCTATGGCACTGCCCCTCCTCTCTGCCAGGGGAATCTCTCAGAGCTTCTTTCAGGTATGAGGCCGACAGTCCTGGGGTGGACCTCCTGGCTGTGCAGGCTCTGGAGAGGACAGATGGCAAAGCCTCTGTCATTGCTCACAGGCTATGGTTTCAACTTTGCTGCTTTCTTCATCCTTCAATTGATGGGGATGCCAAGCCAGGGAGTGGTCTGGAAACCCCGAGGGTGCTTCTAAGTTCACTGAGGGCCCCTGACTTCCCAAGATCTGGCCTTGTGGTGGTCTAAACAATATGCCCTCAGTAGAAACTGCCTGGAGCTTGGGCCTTCTTCTAGCTGGTGATTTGTGCTCCACACTCCACGGGGATGCTGGGCAGCAAGAGTTCAAGTCTGCCATCATGACGGTACAGAGCTGACCCTGGGCTGTGCTGTGGCTAAACCAGGAGACTCGGCAGTTGTGCTTTAGGTGCAATTTCTACTTATGAGGGCTTATCAGGACACACCCCTATTGTAAGTCGAGCATGTGTGCGGTTTCTCCAAGAGGAAAGCAAGCCTTTCCTGGGGTTAACTGCACCACTGTAAGCAAAATGACAGAAACAGGAGGAAGCAAGCCTTGCAGCCCACCCGCTCTCCATGTCTGTCCAGGCTCTGCGTGCCCTCTTTCCTGTTCCATGCCCCAATACTGGTGCTGTTTCCCTTCCGTGAATCTGGACCACACCTGACCTGATCCTGGCAGGACACCATGGTGCATGGACAGTTTTCCCAAGGCTGCTGATCGCCATCCTGGGGAACTTGGGGGTGTTGAACCAAGTCCTCCCCTGCTCAGGAGCATTCTGTGCCTCTTCATGATGCCTGAACCTCCAGAGCTCTAGGAGCGGCCAGGGGGTTTGGGTGAACAACGCAGGGGGTGTGTGGAGGGCAGCAGGAAGCTGTGGGGTGGGCCAGTATTCAGGATTATTAAATAAGGGTCCACTTAAAAGCACCTAAAAGCATTGTCTGAAACCAGCACAGGACATGCGAATGTTCTGGGTCTAGACAAAGCACTCAGTGGCAAGGAGCAGACCTTTATCAGGTCCACACGTCTGAACTGGACATGCACATCCAGACAGGAAGTCAAGCTGCCGAAAGAGACTGCAGGACCCAAGTGCCAGTCACTGTGGTGGGCATGCACTTTGTATTCAGTCACACTGTGAAATAAGTCAGTTAGCTTGTCCTGTAGTCATATTTTCCTTCTAAGAAACTGAAGCCTTAAAATTCCTACAAGCAAGCACGAAGCTCAGGTAAATGCACGTCTGGAGCGAGCCACCATCACCTGTGTCACTAAGCAATCGTCTTGCCTTTGCTTTCTGTGGGTTATCCAAGTGGTTGCCCAAGACTTTATTTCATGTGCCTGCAAGAAAGGCACTTGGGAATACCCCACTCTGCTTGCAAGTCACACGACACTGCTACAGAGAACAGAATGACTTCCACAGAAAGCCATCTCAGGACAAATGACCAAGGCCTAGTCCATTCGGGCTGCTCCAACCAAAGACCTTAGACTGGATAATCTGCAGGCAGCATAACTTACTGCTCAGTTAACGGGCCTGGAGGCCTAGGATCAAATGCCATGGGCTCTGAGTTTGGTGAGGGCCCCTGTCTACTTCCAAGGTGGTGCCCTGAGTGCCATGTTCTCACGTGAAAGGGACAGAGGGGAGGCAAATCCTCCTTCCCTTGTTTCGTGTGTGTGTGTGTGTGTTACTGAGGATTGAGCCCAGTGGTGCTTTACCACAGAGCTACAATCCCTAACCCTTTTAAATTTATATTGAGACAGAACCTCCCTAAGTTGATGAGGCTGGCCTGAGACTTGGGATCCTCCTGGCTTGGCTTCCCAGTCACTGGGATCACAGGCACGCACCACCACATCCACACCTGAGGCCTCTTTTAAGAGCACTAATTCCACTCACGAGGCTCAGGCCTTGCACGTCTCTCTCCCTGCAGAGGCACCTTCTGAGGCCATCACTGTCACAATTAGGTCTCCACATATGAACTCTGGAAGGACACATTCAAACCACAGCACCAAGTACTTCAAATCTCACCACACCGAAGAGGCGATTGCATAATAGTTATTCATTAGCTTAAACTAATCTGAAACAATTTGTAAACTACCTACTGGAGAGGTACTGAGGAAAGCCACGTGGGGAAGAGCAAAACCACCACTCAAAACAGATCAGCCAACCAAGCCAATCGAAATCTCACTCCCACACACACGCCTAAGCCGCAACCTCTGCAAATCTCAGTCCAGAAATACCTTTCCATCAAGGCAAGTGTCCGCACCTTCTCTAAAAGATCAGTGCAAGCTTTGGGCTCTTGCCTGAAGGAAACCCACCAGCTTGCCAAATGGTCCCTGCAGGTCAGGAGGTCTGACTCTGAAACTACCATCTGGTGTAAAAACAGACAACACTCAACCTCTTCAGCCAGCTGCCTCCACCAGGGTGCCAGACTCTGCTGTCTGAGGCTCTAGGTGTGACAGCCAGACTTTGGCATCTGCGTCTGCACACATGCATTTCAGGAAAACTGGCCATCCTGGAAGCCAAGCCCTGGCCCCACCTGCCCCCTTCACTTCAAGTGCTCTACAGTGGCCACGGGCCACAGTGAGGCAGCCTCTCTGGGCATAGGAGTGCACATGCTCTGCTTATGTGGCACTGACAGCTAAGTGCAGGCCGAGGGAAGAAGGGATGTGGCAGTGGGCGCAAGGTGGCCCACGGCCTCAGCCTCCAGGGTGGCCACAGGCAGATGTGTCCACAGTTGACCAGTCATAGCAGTATCAGTCACATCTAAAACCAAGAGCCAATATACATGCCTGAGTGTGACTGCAGGTGGGAAGGACCCCTCTTATCCTTGTTTCTCCATCATTGACTTGTGTGTGCTTCATTTAAAGGAAAAATAAAACCCAGTAGTATTCATCTTTCACCCAATAGAAATTTTCCTGCAATGATAGTGAATTGCCTCTATTTCAAATTCTTTAGTGGTAGTTAATTTAAAAAAAAAAAAATCTCCCCTGTCCTGCCTTCAGCTCTTATCCAGATGAGCTTCTGCTTCCTGCTCAACTCAAATGCAAGGATCTGGAGAAGACTGATGGGCACCACAGGCTCAGTGGGCCCAGCCCTGCCTGATGGCTGCCTAGCTCTGGGGCTGAGAGGAGATCGCACAGACCGCTGTAGCCTCAGAATTAACTTGCACACACAGAGGATCCTACCTGGCTGCTCTCCTGTTTTCCCCACTCCCCCTCATTTCTGTTTTCTAGCACAGACCCCACTGACTGATATCTCTAAAGCCTTCTCAAGAACACCCTCTGCTCATAGCTGTGGCCCTTTTTCTCTGGGCCCCTAAAGGCTGTAGCCCCACTGCTCTAGTGCCACTGTGGTCCCCTCTGCACCCAGATCTCTGCACAGAGAACTGCTGGTACAAATACCAATTGTACATTTAGACTGTCCTGTGACCAGGCGATACCTGAGCAGACCCTGGTCGAGGAGCAGCACGACAGGCTCAGCTTGAACGGCTCAGATAGGAGCCCCGGCGCCAGAGCTACCGTGTGGCATCTTTCTAACTCCAGGAGGAAACGAGGGCTTGCCGGCTTTTGACACTGGGGTCTGTGCATGGCGCACTCTAAGCTTCAGCCTGGGCTCTGGAGGGGACTGTCTTGCTCCACCAGGCACTCAGGTGCCGTTTCCAAGGTACCTTAGAAGACCCATCTTGAAAACATCGCCTAACTCCTTAGGTGCACCTAGAACACTGCGCCCACACCTGCTGCAGAAGGTGCGCTGGCACCCTGCCATCAGGGCAGGTGGCTCCTGCAGGGTGGGGGCCACCGCAGCCATCCCAGTGTGCGTGTGTGGGAGGGAGCCCTGGACTGTAGCAGTCAGCGGAAACAATCTGCCATCAGGCCAAGTCCTCAGCACAAGCGGAATGAGTGCCAAGAGGTCAAAAGGTTATTCGAGGTCATATGGAAACAACACGGGTCAGGAGCACTGAGAAAACTGGTTAATATTATTATGTAATATTAATATTAGTAGCAACTAACAGCGGCATGCAGGTGGGCACACGACAGAAAGAATAGAAGGGTGGAAGGTAGACAAAGTGAAGACTCACATCTGGGTGGGGGATGGCGTACTGTCCCTGGATCGTGTAGGCCTGGAGAAAGAGAGAGAGACCTTCAGCTCATATCCTGGCAGACCTCGGCCTGCCACACCCTGGCAACCCTCCCCTGCACAACAAGAACCCTCTGGTGACAGCCTCTCCCTCAGTGTGCTCCTCTACCTGCTCCTGTTTGCTCAGGACAAGGGCCGCTCTTCTCAGGGAAGGAGGCCTGAGCCACCACCAGAGGAGGAGGCCAGGGCAGGCCAGAGAGCTGCACCCCTCCCTGAGCGGCAGCCCACTGAGCGGCCACACCAGCAGGAGGCAGGGGACGGCCGAGCTCACCCCTTTTCCTAAAAGAAAGCCCTGAGGGTGATTTATTTGACCCAAGCGAGAGGTCCATTAATATTAATCAACCCTCAGAGTAGATAGTTGGGGAAATACTTGCCCCCAAAACATTCAAACAGAAAAAGAAAGCTTTAAAAGATGACCCAAACCTGAAAAAGCCAGATGGAGGAGATCTAATTCGGCCCAGTTGGTTCTTCCCATCAAATCTACAGTTGCATCCCGAGAGGGGGGCTTCCCTCCGAGTGTCTATGGGACCCTGGGACTCGTTTTCACGATCTCCTTGCCTGAGCTCTGTGACTGAGCCAGCTCGGCCACCATCCACTCTGAGGCCTGCCCACCTCACCCTGATGCCCAGTGATGGCAGAGCCCCGTGGTCCCTTCAGCCCAGATGCCTCCTGTGATCCAGCAGCTCCTGGCCAGATCATGTAGGAGCCACGGAGTCCAGGGAGAGCAAGCGCACAGAAGGTGGACCTGGCTTTGCTGGGGGGCCACCAGGCCTGGTGGAAGCACAGGGTGAGGATGTGGTTTCTGGCACCTGGATATGTGGGGCCCCCATCCCAATAGGACATGTGTTGTCCACTTGTGTCTACACTCAGGGTCGCCGATGTCTGAGAGGGAGACCTCAGGGGAGACCACAGGTCACTTCTCTGGACCCCAGGCCCTCCCACAGGTTTCTAATCTGTCCAGAGTTTTCATCAACAACCCATCCCAGGAGTTCAAGGTCAATCTACCACCCAACAGGGACCCAGCCGCAGTCCAGCTCTGAAACACAGTCAGGCCCAGTGGAGCAAGGTGCTGGCTGGGACAGCCCCACTGTGCTGAGGGGGGGAGTAGAGGAATCTTATCAGATACAGCGATGTTCTAGGAAAGGAGCAGGGCCTGGAGACCCAGCCTCAGGTTCTGCAAAGTTGCTGCCAGGGACGTGCTCCTATGTGTTAGCTACTATAGGGACCTCTGCAGTACCCATGGGCCAGGCCCCTGGGACACAGGGGTTTGTTCTCTCTGGGCCCACAGGTCTGAGCTGAGTTGTGAGTGAGTGCTGCTTAGGTCCCTGCTCATTGTGGGCCGTCTCACACCTGCCTGTTCCCTGTAGGCTCTGCCTGAGGGTGCCCAGGTGATGCCTGCAGTGACAGCTGTGTGGACAGTGCTGCTGAGCACCCTTACCTGTGGCATCGTCACTCCCCTGCTCAAGGGGACGAGTGCCAGGCTCCCTCCTCTGTGTCGGTCATGCATGCTACTCTTGGGCATGTGGGGGCTTGAGTCCTGGAGAGCTTGGGTCGTGGCCTAAGCAGATACTTCTGAGTTCTGCTGTACCTCACTTCTCAGTTTGCATTTTGGATCCTTTCCTGGGTGACCTGCACTCAGAAGTGACTCCTGTGTGACTATCCACATGTCACAACCAAGGCCATCGCTGGCTACCACACTGTTCCAAGGGCACAGTGGTGGGCCCTACAAATGCCATGGCACCGTGACCTGGAGGGCACATGGCAATGACTGGAGGGGTGGTGCATCTGCCTGTTTCACAGGCAGATGGGGTCCCCCTGTGGTGGCTTTACCACCAGAGCTCATGTCATCTGGCTCTGCAGACGTGTCTGGATAAAGTCACCTCCCCTGGAGTGAACGAACCCCACATTTCACCGCAGATGCCATCAAGGGTTTGCTTCAACACTGGGGGAGTCCCCAGGGTCTGCCGAGGCCAACCTCCATGAACTCGTGGGAGTGTGCGGTGGAGCTGGGGTGAGGAGGTGCTGCATGGCGTGTGCTCCACCAGGGCAGCCTGCAGCCCTTCACCATGCAGGGCCTGGCTTTCTGATCTGAAGTAGGGCATGGGCCACATGCTGGGGCTACGTGAGGACGGTGTGCCCAAGAGGGCGCCCTGCCGACAGAGGGGCAGACCAGAGGCATGAGACAGGTGGGGTGGGGGCAAGCCTGAGGATGCACCATGTATCTGGCCAAAGGAATGGAAATGCAGGCTCCCTGTCCCTTCCTCTACCATGGGCCAGTCGCAGGATCTGATAAGATTTCTCCACACCATGAGAAAGACATGAGGAAACATTTTCCTTGTCCTCCTTCTTTTTAGATGATAAACTCCCATGCCTACTCGGCACCGGCTGGACCACCTGTGGGGACATCTCTCTCTCAACTCTCCCCTGAACAAAGACAGACATCGCGGCCGGCTGGACACAGAGCTCTTCCAGGTCAACCCCAGCTGGACGTGTGCAAATCATCTGTGTGGATGGGCAGTATGGCCTGAGGTGGCCACAAAGGAGGAAGCCGGGGCATGGCCCTTCTCCTGCCTCTTCTCCAGGGGTCTGGCCCAGCCAGAGCACACAGTTCCTCTCTACCCCATCCTTCCAGGTCTCTTCTCCAGGAAAACAGGGGTGGGGGGCTAAAATGTGCAAGATCTGGGCTGTCAACGCAGGTGCTCTGTGACTTGTGGACACCTGCTAGGGCAGGTGGCAGGGCGGGGGTGTCAGGGCCAGCAGGGCCAGCAGGACCAGGGCTGCCTGGCCTGCAGCTGCTCCTCCCTCCTCTCGTGTTTGCACAGCTCCTACTTGGAGTGCGCTGTGGGGTCTGGGGACCCTAGTTCTCACAGCCCCAGTTGCCTCCAATACGAGCCTTAAGTTGCCCAGGTGCCCTTGTCTCTACCCAAGCAGCTCAGTCACATCCAAGAACTAGGTTTGGCAGGTGTGGCCTGGGCAGAGACCTGTGTGCCCTGATGTGAGGGTCCCTCCTGTCTAGGTCAGGGGCCACACTCGGGAGACCTGTCTCCCTTGCTCCCACCCGCCAACTGGTGTGGGCCAGGAGAGCTCTGCATCTGTCCGGTGGGTGGGAGACGTGCACGTGAGAAGGCGAGAAAACCTGAGTGCACTAACGGGCAGCGGCGGGTGCTGCAGTAAAAGGCTGAGGTTGGCAGTGGAGGCCGCGAGCGGGTCGGCTCTTACCTGACCACCTGCAAAAATGACAGGGGTGGAGGCGGGCTTTGGGCGGTAGGGAATGGTGGCACCTTTCGGTGGGGACTAGGAAAAGGGACAGGAGAGGGAGAGAGAGCGTTAGAGAAGCCTGGCAGCCGGCCGTGGGGGCTGCCTTCCCGAGCCCGCCCCTCTGCATAGACCCCAAGCTCCAGACTTGGCCCAGGCAAGGGCTCAGAGGCTGTGGCGGTGCTGGAGGGAGCAGCCCATTCCAGGGGGCACCATGAGGAGCCGAGCATCCTCGCAGAACACCAAGGGCAGGGCGGTGCCCCCCATCCTCACGGCCACTTCCTCCAGACAGGCTCCTTCCCACCAAGGCCCCCACCCCAACACGACCCTGCCGCCCAGTCCAGCAGGACGTGGCAGCGCTGTGTAGTGTGGCGTGTCGGTTATGGGAGGCCAGCAGGGCAGCCACCTGCTCGTGGGACCCTGCTGAGGGCTGCTGGCTGAGGTGGGCTCTGCAGTGCTCGCTCATCCTGCCGCCACCCTTCCTCCTGGCGTGGCCCTCGAGGACCAGAATGTGCATGGCATCCATGAGCTGGGCCTGGCTGTGACTTCACAGGTGGACAGCTTGGCATTCTCTGACAGAAACGCTTGAGTTCTTTGGCAAAAGCTGAGCCTCGCACACAGCGCTGTGGGAACTGCTGTCCAATGCCCCCAGGGCTTTCCTGGTCCATGACAACAGTCAGTAGAGATGGTCCCAGGAAACTCATAAACATCCAGTGTTGCCATTAGAAAAACACCATTTTATTACATAGATGCCAAATGAAGTATTCCACAATCAGGATGAGGTTTGCTATAGTTTTCCTTGGTTATTCTGTGTCCAAAATGTAGGATTCTTATCTTAGGTGAAGGACATTCTTAAGCACCATAACCTTCCCCAGCCCTCTTCACCTGGTCAGGAGTGGTCAGCCACTACCTGGCCCCACTCCCTGTGCCCTGGGAGCAGGTCCGAGGGATGGGCCAGGAGGCACTGAGGGCTACAGGCTGTTGCAGCACAGGGAGGCTGGGAATAGCCTGCCTGTGGGTGTTTTGGGGCCACAGACCACTCAAGGGCCAGCGGCACCCCAGGCCTATTGGGTGTGACCTTTGAGCACACGATGGGGGACCCACCCCTCAGGGTGGGCGCAGTGTCCATGGTAGCACAGGCCTTGCTGGGTGACAGTGTTGTGGTGGGGATGGTGCAGAGTGGGCGTGAGCAGGCCCAGGCTGGGTCTGGGTGATGCCAGCAATAGGGAGGCCCATCTTCTGTGTTCGTGAGGTACTGACCAAATGCCTCCAAGTGCCTCCATGCAGACCAGGGCTCACTTCAGGCCAAGGCTTCGTAGTCAGACTCAGGGTTGGTTGTGGAAGAATCATGCTGGAGGGCCAGAGTTGACCTCTGTACTGTATCACTGCTGCCCTGCCCCTGGCCGACCTCCTCAGCCTCTCAGCCCCAACAAGGAAGGCCAGGGCCCCAGCCCAGAGCTCCTCTCCCCTGCCCTGTTTTGCAGTACTGCATGACTGTGACTCCCAATGCCCTTCTCACCACAGAGGAGAGACTCTCTAGCAGCCGATGTTCCTCAGGAGGGGCCAAGCACACAGACCTTTCCTTGATGGGCACAGAAGTGCAGGTGGCCCACAGTTGTGACACCTGTGTTATCTGCAGGCCCCATGCAAGCTCATCTGTCATGGGACAGCCCTTTCTTTTGCAATTTTAGGAGTGCAAGGCATGCCCCATGCGCAAGCCCCAAAGTCCTCTGATTGACAAGGAGGGCCTCAAGCCATCCTTTGCTTTTATTTCCAGCTACACTGCTTCTGTGGGTGATGCACCCTCCTCCCCTGGGAAGAACGGCTCCCAACCCTCTGCCAGCCACAGGATGTGAAGAATAGGTGTGTCTTGTCAGGCCAACATCCATCTTCTGTTTGTACCTGCAGCTTCCCTGTCTCCCATGTCACACCATCAGGAGGAGTCAAGATGGTTCTCACACTCAGCCTGGGGCACCGACATACCACAGCCCATGGCCCTACCTGCCTCTGAGGGGGCCAGTGTCTTCCCACCACCAGCGGCAGGCCATCAGCTGGAGGAATCTGACAAGACCATACACTTTGTCCTAAGAGCTGGGCACCATCCCTGACCAGGGACGTAGGAGGCAGGGTCATTTGCTGCCACTCCGAGGGTGCCACCTGCAGGCCTGTTTGGTGAGCCTCGGGTTTCCAGTTACTCAGACCAGCAACACTCTGTAACCCTGACCAGTGTGTGGGGGAAATTCACAACAAGAATATTTTGAAAAATGTTTTAGACTTCTCAAAATATCATACCTCATGAAAATAAAATCATGCGAAATTTTAGAATTAAACATGGGGTTTGAGGCTGGGTATGGTGGTGCATGCCTGTAATTCCAACTGCTCCAGAGGCAGGAGGATATCAAGTTTGAGGCCAGCCTGGGCAAATCAATGAGACCCTATCTCAAAACAAAAAGACTGGGGATGTAGCTCAGTGGAAGCACAGCCCTGGGTTTAATCTCCAGTGCTGAAAAACAAGCAAAAAAAGGAACACGGAGTCTGAGCGCAGAGCCAAATATGAAAAGGGACAGAGGGGAAGCCAGCCGCCCGTGAGGCAGGAGGACCTTTCTTCTGGGGTGGGCTTGCTGCAGTCGCTTTAGTAAAGACAAGCAGCTGACAGTGCCATGAATTTGGCTTCATTTTGGCTTTGACTGGAATTTGATTCTTGGGTTCTTTCCTCCTTGTCTGCTGCGACTCCTCTGCTTTGTTTTATCCTTCTGTGCCCTCATCTCTATCTCCACGCTGGGCACTTTGTGTGTTCGTCCTGAGTCTGCCCTGTTGGCCTCAGAGGCAGTTCTTGGTGCCATCTGCAGACCTGGGGAACACGGAAGCTTCCGGCCCCATCCTGCTGAGATGGGCACTGCAACCCTCCCTCCCCCCTCACCTCCACCACATTGGCCTCCACAAGGTCAGCCCCTCCAGGGCGGGCTCTCTCTGGCCTCAAACCCTCTCACCAGGACAAAGCTGTCCAGCTCCAAAGTGAGAGAAGTATGCTTCTTCCTGTGCTCTCTCTGAGCTGACAAAGGTGGCACTGATGCTCCAGGCAGAGGGGGTGTTGGGGGGCAAGGGCAGACCCCAGCTGCCCTCCCCAGGGAACTGCAGCCTGGGAAGCTGGGTCTAGGGACTTCCAGATCCTCATGTCATGCCCCAACCAACCGTGTGCATCCTCAGCATCAAGGAGGTGCCTGGGCTCTGCCAGGACGCAGGGCAGCCAAGCGCAGAGTGAACCCAGCGCTGAGCGCAGAGAGGGTGGGCTGGTGACGTGACTGTACCTCCAGCATGACCACACAGATCTGCTTGACGCACTGTATAATGGCATCTGGCGTCCCTGAAATGGTCACTGCCCGCTCCGTGGAGTTGGGCAGCATGTCCCCGGCCACCTGGACTTGGGCACCTGTGGACTGGAGAAAAGGGACATTGGAAGTGGACAGTAGAAAAGGAGGGTGGTATTGTGCACAGGATACGTGGTATCTCCAGAATCTTGGGGATACTCAGGGTAGTCTACACAATGGACAGCCCTTCACTTGACACACGGCCTGGCTGGCCATGCTGCACAGGACCACAGTGTTGCCTCCTATGTCCCCTCCCTCCACCCCTGCCTGGACACCCAGCCTCTGCAGTCTCCTCTGGGAGCACATGGCCCTCAGGCAGGAGCTGTCCCATAGGGGCAGGCACACTGCACAGGAGGCCATGCCCCTGGGAGGGCATGGAGTTTGCAGGAGATGGACTGCTCTCTCCTCACCCAGAACCCCATCTCCTCCAGAGTCCAGGTCGCTTGGGGACCTCCTGGGGGCGTGTCAAGTGGGTGGTGCCTCCCATGTCAGGGGAGGTCAGCTTTCCTGGAGTCAGGTGTGTGTGAGTACCCACGCCTCCTGTGGTTCCATCAGCACTGCTCAGAGCCGGGACCCAAAGCCCTCAGGCCTGAGCGCAGCCCAGAGCCACAGGACTGGAAGGACTGGAGACCCTCCCTAACCGCCAGCAGGGCCGCTCCCTACACGAGGTCTACTGTGTGGGTCCCCCACACTCCACTTTTCATTAGTTCACTGGACTGACTGTCCCTGTTGCACGTAAGCGTCAGGCTATCAGAACCTGCAACAGCTAGTGCCAGTGATGGCAGGCTGCATAGGGGACGTGCAGAGAGATGGTGGGGAAGATCTTGGTACCTCCCTTATCTCCTTGATCTTGGAGCCGCCTTTGCCAATTAGGGACCCGCACTGGCTGGCTGGGACCACCAGCCTCAGCGTCACTGGGGGCTTGCTGGTAGCAGGGCTGTTGCTCATGGAGTTGATGATGTCCTAGGGAGGAAAAGATGCATGTTGGCACCACATCAGTGAGTACAGCTGCATGGTTGGGATACTGAGAGGAGTGTGCACAGCATCTGTGCCCTGCACCAGCCCCATGCACCTTGCAGGGCCCATGAATCCCTCCCCCATGGGGAAGGGACACAGAGGACAGGATGGGTGGTCTCCAAGCTGCAGAAGACCTCAGGCAGGGCACACAGATCAAAAGGACAACTGTGGCCGGGTTTGGTGGCACACACCTGTAATCTCAGTGGCTTGGGAGGCTGAGGCAGGAGAATCGCGAGTTCAAAGCCAGCCTTAGCAAAAACGAGGTGCTAAGCAATTCAGTGAGACCCTGTCTCTAAATAAAATACAAAATAGGACTGGGGATGTGGCTCAGAGGTTGAGGGCTCCTGAGTTCAATCCCCGGTACCAAAAAAAAAAAAAGAAAAGAAAAGAAGTCTGAAGGCCTGGGGGTACCAGGCTTGCACAGATAGACGTGTGAGGTGGGAGCACTGCAGAGCAGAGACCATCTGGGATGGGTATGACAAGCGTGACTGCCAAGGGTTGGAGGTGTAGGGTGGAAAGTGGCTGTCTGGTGCCCCGCACTGAGGTGAGAGATGAGTCAGAAGGCGAAGGGCAGCAGAGGTATGATGATGGGTTTGGAGCCGGCCTGCCTGGGTAGCCATTATGTTCAGCTTGTGGTTTTGACACAAAGGAGACATCCAGCTTCTGGTTCAGGCTGGCCACTGATGGGGCAGGCAATACCTCCAGTGTCTGGGTTGTGAAGAAGCAAGGACCTATGGAGACCCAGGCCCCACCACAGTGTGCAGCACATCCAGAGGGGCTCCCCACGTGCGCTCGCTCTCCACGTGCCCAGCTGTCTCAGGAACGGTCCCTCAAAGGGATCCACCACTTTCCAAGTTATGATTTGTGTAACAATTTACTCCCCACCAACTCATGCCTCTCTTCTTTTTGAAAACAATATTAAGTCATGAAAAGTAGCACATTAGATCGTTCTAAAGTGACATGTCAGGAGGTGCATGAGGACAAGGAGAGAGGTGTCCCTTTAAAGCAGACCTGCCAGGGCCAGTGGAAAGGGAGCTTCCAAGGGGCTCTCTGCCTGCAGGCTGGACAAGGAAGTCACCAGGAAGTTGCACAGCTCTGTGTGTGTGAAAACCCTGTGACACGTGGGCACGTCACTCCGGCACCGGAGAGTCTGCTTATAGAGGAAGCAGCTGGGGCAGGGGGAGAAGCCAGACAAGAGAGTCAAAGAAATGCCTGGGCCAGGCTGTAGGTGCCCAGGGAGCTGGGTCCACAACCTCTGTGGTCCCCAGCACAGGAAGTCAAGTCAGAGCCTTTGCAGTGCTTGGCCAAGGACTGCAGCTCCCCTCATGTTTGCCCTGCTTCCCACTCAGGACCACCCAAAAATATGCACTTGCTCCAATCCATCACTAGGAGGCTCTGCTTCTGTGACCCAGCCCCTGCTCCCAGCAGCGGCCCTCCCAGGACACGGGATCGAAGGCTGCCCTTGCTCAGCACAAGTTGACCTCCCGCACAAGTAAGGGTGGCCGGCCCTCTTGCCATAGCTAGCCCTGCACATGTGGCCTCTGCTGCTCCATCCAGGTAGCCTTGCTCATCTCCACATGGACCCCGCTCCCACCCAGGTGTGGTTCTCCAGAGGCCCTGTGCCTGCTGTTCCTGCCAGGTGAGCATGGCGGAGTTGGCTCTGGGTCCGGACCCATTCTCAGGCACGGAGCTCCTGGGTTGTGCATTCCCAGCCCGGGGCCTGGTCTGGCAGCTGGTTCCATCTGTTTACCTCCCTGGTGGGTTGAGTCACGCCCTTCCATCCCCCTGCTGGCTTCGGTGTGTTGCTGGTCATGACGAGGAGCCTCAGGGCCAAACACAAGCTGGTCGTCCTGGACTAACATCCACATGGACACACCTGGTTCTCAGATGGAGCTCTCCTCCTCTCGACTGTCTGTGCTAAGAGCTTATTTGATGTGGAGGGACTGTCCCTCGGTTCCACTGATGGGGTTGGGGTGGCTGAAGGTATGTGGGCTGCAGTCCTACTTGCTGCCAGCTTCCACGGTCTGTCTAAGCCTCCTCTTCCTGAACCCTGAAGCCACTTCACCCACTGAAGCCCTGGTTCCACACCTGCCCATTTGTGGTGTCTCTCCACCAAGCATGACTCGGGCCTTTGGTGAGCACTCTGGGGACACTAGACTTGAGTATAACGGTCCATTCAAGAGGAATGTTATAGCTGGGCGTGGCAACTTATCGGGACCCTAATCAAATTGGTGAGACCTTGTCTCAAAATAAAAATAAAAATGGGGGGCTGGGGCTGTAGCTCAGTGATAGAGCACTTTCCTAGCACCTGTGAGGCACTGGGTTCAATCCTCAGCACTGCATAAAAATAAATAAATAAAATAAAAGCACTGTGCCCATTTACAACTGAAAAAAAAATGAATAAATGAATAAATAAATAAATAAAAATGGGCTGGGCTGTAGCTCAGTGGTGGAGTGCCCTGGGTTAAACCCTATATATGGATATCGCCTTATAAAAAAAAAGTGGACAAGGTTTCTCATGCCCAGTGGAGCAGCATTTTTTGTATCAGTGTGAATAGGTTTCCTAATGAAATTCTGATTTAAAAATCGTTTCACTGAAAGATTCTTTGGCTAAAGCAAATAAATAATTTGACAGACCTCAGATGCTATCCAGTAGGTCCTCCTTCCTAGCCCTCTAGCACCTCCTGCCCCGATTCCCATCTTTTCAACACATTCCCCCGCCCCCCCAACTCCACCTCTGCCTTTTCCCAACAATGCTCCTAGGACCCCTGATGCTGAGTACTTGTAGAATCCCCCAACCAAACTGGTGACATAGGCAATTTAAACCTGAACCAGAGCTGAATTAAGAGCTATGATGAAGGATTTCTCCAAACCCAGACAAGATCAGCAACTAACAGAAGAATTTGGAACTCTCTGGGCACAGGACTCAGGGTTACCTTAGGTAACATCAACTTGACCTTCTCCCCACAAATAAACCCAACGGTCAGAAAAGGTAGCAGGGCAAAGTCTCCTAAAAGCCATATCCAAACACTTCCAATGGAAATGATTGGAACAACTGTGCCCACAGGGAAAGAAGAGACCCCTGGGTTCTGGGAAGACTGGAAGGCAAGCTCTGACAGCAGTCAGGCTGAGGAGTGCGGGCCTAGGAGTCCCTCTCCATCCCATCTGCTCAACAGAGTCAAACCTAATTTGAAAACAGAAATTAGGACAGGGAGTGTGTGTGTGTGTGTGTGTGTGTGTGTGTGTGTGTGTGTGTGTGTGTTGTGATCCTGTAGCTGAAACACAACACCTGGCAGAATATTTAAGAGGGTTCTAGAACAAAATAAGGCAGGACCAAAATGAACTTGTGGCCCTGCAGCTCACACAGGCAGGCGGCCCCCTCACTGCCACCAGCTGCGGACAAGCACATGTGGACACTGAGCAGAGGCATCACTGGGGAAGGAGGATCCTATCCTAGAAAGAAAGCCCCCTTGGTACAGATCAGGGAAGAGCACCAGTTTCCTTCCTGCCCTCCCCTGACCCTGGAGCTGGGTGTGTGGAGGTCTAGGTAGCAGTCTCCCTGGAGCCTGAGTCCAGGTAGAGTACCACCCTCCCTAGATGCTCCTACAGTCACTTGCTTCCTTGTGTGGGCCTCAGCCCTGCCCTCACCAGTGCGTCTGCAGAGCAGGACAGCCACATCTGGGCACCTTCACTGGGCTCAGGTGCTTGGACTGCCGGCCCAGGGGCACTGAAGCACCACCACCTCTTCCAGGTCCTCAAGAGCAAAACCCACAATTCCCTCGTGGTTTGGTTCTGATGTCATATGAGATGATCTCCTACCTTGTGTAGAAGACAGGAAACCTGGGAGGGTTCTGTTTTCTGCCTCTTGGCCTTGGCAGACCCTGTTGGCAACTTGACCAATTTCCTCAGAATTGAAGCTGGAGGTCATTAAGTCGGGTGATGTGGACCCACAAGGAAGCCCTAAACCCCACTGTGACCCTTTAGAGAGGGAGTCTCTAATGAGGTCCTAAGAGTGAACTCTAGTCCAGTAAGGCTTGGGTCCTGATAACAAGAGGGAGACAGCAAGGATGTGCCCACAGAGAATAGGACCATGAGAAGGTGGCCATATGCAATCTGAGGGAAGGGGCCTAGGAACAAACCAAGCACCATGATACTTTGATCTTGGGCTTTCAGCCTCCAAAACAGAAAACAATGCCTATTGTTTAAGCCACCCAGCTGTGGGACCTGGTTATGGAGGCAGCCAGGGCAGATTAAGAACATCACCAGCCTCATCTCCTTTAGAACACAGGGCTCCACCCAGCAAGGTCAGCCAGATGCAGGACTTGTACTCATGAGCACCTGTCAACCACCAGAGAGAAGGCACGCTTTCAGAGGAGCATGACCTTGGGGCTCTCGCCTCTGCTGGAGCCCCATCGACATATTAGGAGGAAAGGGTGCTGAGACACAGCTTTGCTTCCCAGAGCCATGACTGCACACAGGGAGAACACAGAAGCTGAGGGAAATGCTCTGCAGATCATCACACCAGACACACCTCTTGGACTAAGGCTGTACCTCTAGCTAAACCCCTCAAGGATGTGCTTGTGCGCATTCAGAGATGCTGCTGTGAGCTACCAGCATAAGTCCCTAATACTGAAGAGGAAGGAAGGACAGGAGGTGCATGACCCCTTCCCAAGGTGAACTCCAGTACTGTTGCTGGCTGGTGGTGCCTAATGACAAACACAGATGTTAGCGGAGTTGCCTGTTGAAACTACTCATGTAGGAGCAGATACATTGGTCACTATGTGAAACCCACATTGGCAGGAAACTGTGAGACAGTGAGGCATTTGTGGCCACGTGTCACCTGTCAACAACATAGTCCTGGAGGAACTGTGAAAATGAGGCACGGCTGTGGGCCTTGAGCTCTTGGGGTGGCTCACCAGCTTCCTCCCTCCCCGGGCTGAGTGAGG